CTGACTGTGTGTGTGTGTGTGTCTGACTGTGTATGTGTGTGTGTTTGTGTCTGACTTTGTGTCTGACTGTGTGTGTTTGTGTATGTGTCTGACTGTGTGTGTGTGTTTGTGTATGTGTCTGACTGTGTGTGTATGTGTTTGTGTCTGACTGTGTGTGTGTTTGTGTATGTGTCTGACTGTGTGTGTATGTGTTTGTGTCTGACTGTGTGTGTGTGTGTGTGTGTGTTTGTGTCTGACTGTGTGTGTATTTAGAAGGTGGGGCGGGGGGAAGGGTTGGGTGGGGGTGGCGCGGGGGTGAGGGGGGCGCCTGAGTTTTGTCCTGCCTAGGGCAGCACAAAACCAGGATACACCACTGAATACGCCCATAGAACATATAGAAACTGAAAATCCATCCACTCATATTAAAGAGGAATCCGTCTCAAGGGAAGAAGTAACTCTCCCAGACACAGACGTCTATACACCCACAGAAGATATAGAAGATCCATCTACTCATATTAAGGAGGAATCGGTCTCATGGCAAGATGGAGATCTTGTTGAAGTTTCCATTTGCACAACCAAGGGAGATATACAAATGAACTATACATCAAAGTGTGAATCTGCATCAAATGAAAAACATTTTCTTATAAACGCTGATATTTATACAGGCACAGACCATAGACAGACAGAATATCCACCTGACCTTATTAAGGAAGAGTCAGCCTCATGTGAAGCCAGTCCGCTTACGAGCACAGAGGTTTTCACACCCACAGGAGATAAACAGATGGACTGTAAATCGAATTCTGAATCTGCATCACACAAACAAGGATATCTCCAAGACACTGATATCTATACACCCACAGAACATACACAGACAGAATAGCCATCTACTTATATTAAGGAGGAATCGGCCTCATATGAAGTTAGAAATCTTACAATCTTGGACCTTCTTACCCGCACCTGTAATATTGGAACACAAAACAAATCTACCAATTCAGAGCTTGTTAACCATCAGAGGGTCAACACAGTAAATAATTTGACCAGTACCGATTACATTGAACATGAGTGTTTTATGCAAAAATCACATTTTATCAGAGGTAGGAGAGCTCCCAAAGGAGAAAAGACCATTTCTTGTTCTGAATGTAAGAAATGCTTTGCTCACATGGCAAATCTCCAGACACATCAAAGGATTCACACTGGAGAGAAACCATTTTCATGTTCAGAATGCAACAAATGTTTTAGTCAACTGACAAACCTTCAGACACACAAGAAGATTCACACAGGAGAAAAACCATTTTCTTGTTCCGAATGTAGGAAATGTTTCACCGACCATTCAACTCTTAAGAATCATCAGAAGATTCACACAGGAGAAAAATGTTTCAGAATGTGGGAAATGTTTCAGTCAAATGACAAATCTTTAGACCCATCAGAGGATTCACACAGAATAATTTTTTTTTTTATGTTTAGAATGTGGGAAATATTTTAGTGACCATTCAACTCTTAAGAATCATCAGAAGATTCACACAGGAGAGAAACCATTTTCTTGTTTTGATTGTGGGAAATGTTTCAGTCGGAGATCAGTTCTTAGTTATTTATGATTATTGAGTAAAATAATTGTAGCAGAGAGCTGCTCTTACACAGATTATCTCCACTTTAGATCCCAATAAGGCTCAGGAACAAGTATTATGAATCCAGAAGGCAAAACACTCCAACAATATCCCAACCTCAATCCCAATGACTGGACGACACACAGCATCAGGAGCAGAACTGAACTTTTAATCAAACAGATTCCTTATAAAGGCTTCTCCCATGCAAGGGAGGGATTTACAATAATTGTGACAGTAGCCAATAGTACAGTAGTTGCCTCCCATACATCTCCTCCCCTCAGTGTGACACTTAATCCACTTATCTTTGTTACAGTTTTACCCGGTTTCCGGATGTACCCTAAAACTTTGTGGTACAATTGTCTACGTGGTACCCCCTGGTAGCCCTGATCTGGGTGGCTAACATATTCAAAATTCACCCAGATCGGACCAGGGGTTCGGGAGTTATGTGGGAGAAACAATTTGATCGACCGCACATGAGGTGGTAGCCAAAAAGGGTTCCATGTGTTTCGGCCCTGCAGTCGGTCTCCGTTTGGGAGATAAAACATACATAAATCTTTGCCATCCACTATTAAAAAGATGTTCGTATGAATCCCCTTGTTCGGTACGTTGAATTCACCGAACGAGGTGCTGGTAGGCCCCTCCGTTCGGAGTTACGGAGCTCTGGAGGACTCAGCGGTGTTCGGGTAATCGAGTGTCCGATTTGAGTTCGAGATACTTGACAACCAAACACCGCTGCGGTTTCGTGCGTAAGATGGCCGCCACGTGTTCGTATACCGAATGGCGGCCACCCAGATACAGCAATAAAGTACTGATTGACTTGCGGTTAGAGAAGTGTGAAAGGCTAATAAGGTAAACACTTCTCTCTAGGGTGGTCTACTGGTTCGGTAGTTTTTATTAGTATGGGATACGGATGAAAACTACCAAACAAACAAACAAATCCTACATACAATTTTAATTATACAAGGAAATAAACACTCAAATTGTCTTTTTAACATAACCCTTGAGGACAGTCCAGTGCTATCCGCTACAATGATAATGTAAGGTGTATTTCCAATTTAAATAAATACTTGACAGTTTTTTTAACCAGCATTTATTATTATTATTATGTTCTTTATATAGAGCCATCACATTCCGCAGCGCTTTACAATGGGTGGACAAACAGACATGTAGTTGTAACCAGACAAGTTGGACACACAGGAACAGAGGGGTGGAGGGCCCTGCTCCATGAACTTACCTGCTAGAGGGAGTGGGTTAAAGTGACACAAAAAGGTATGGATAGTATTAGACTAGTCACAGTAGCAGAAGAGGAATCAGTCGGGAGCTATTAACAGTTTAATTGATACGCTTTTATGAAGAAGTGGGTTTTTAACGATTTTTTGAAGGAATGGAGACTGGGCGAGCATCTAACGGAGGAGGGAAGCAAGTTCCACAGGAACGGTGCAGCCCTCGAGAAATCTTGAAGGAGAGCATCAGAGGTGGGAGTACGGGCAGAAGATAGACGTAAGTCTTCAGCAGATTGTAAGGGCCTAGACGGGACATACTTGTGTATAAGGGAGGATAGATAGGTGGGAGCAGCATTATGTATAGATTTGAAGACTTATAGGAAGACAATGTAGGGACTGACTGAAGGGTGAGGAGTGGGAGTAGGAGGTGCAGGTGGACAGGAAGATGAGCCTCGCCCCCGCATTCATTATGGACTGTAATGGCGTAGGTTCGGAGCATGCAAGACCACTGAGAAGTGGATTACAGTAGTCAAGGACAGTGGAATGAACCAGCACCTTAGTCGCATCTGGCGTTAAGTCGGGGTGGATGCGCGCAATGTTTTTGAAATGGAAATGACAGGATTTGGCGATTGACTGAATATGAGGCTTGAAGGAGAGGTCGCAGTCAAAGAGAACACCTAGGCAGCGAGCATGCGTGGTGGAGACAGACAAGGGAGTAGCAACTCTTGAGAATTTCAGAATTTCAGTTTTGGTCAAGTTTAGTTTAAGGAAGTAGGCAGCCACATAGAACCAAATATACAAACTACACTAAAGCACAAGACAACTTTGAAAAGTTTGTAATACATGTAAATAAACTTACTGTAAACTTGGTCAAATTGTGTTATTGGGCGCACCTCTCAGCTAAGGGGAGTTTCTCCATCCTCCTTTCCCCATTTATAGACACATCTCCAGTTTAAACCAGTCTGCTAATGGCAGAAGCAGGGCTTCATTGTGCCCCACCAGGAAAGAGAAACCTAATACCCGAGCCTGTTCTGCAACATTACACTGATCCGGTTCCTTCTCTTCTCCACCTGTCAGGTTGTTGCAAGGTGACCAGATCTTCTAAATGCACATACGTAAATCTGAGGGTTATGCCCATAGGACACTGGTTAGAAAAATAAATCTAATTTATCTGCTTTTTGATTGTACAGAATGAGGCAATTGTCTCAAAGTGATGTGTGTCCCTTGAAAGTCAAAGTGTGCACACTTGAAAAGTTCTTTTAAATTAGCGATGTTCTAAGTTTGTCAACTTTGGTGTTAAATTTGAAAATTAATCTTGAATTTTTCCATTAATAAACAACCCTGTTAGTGTTCTTAGTTGTATATAAAGCCAAAGTGAAAAGAAAATGTTGCCCAACCCTTAACCAACCCAAACAAAATATATTTATATATGGGTAGTTACAACTTAAAAGTTTCAAAAATTGTACTTCATTGCAGTTTACTGTTACTATTGCAGTTTCTTTTAATTTGTTTTTTATTGGACTCACAGAAATCTGTAGTGACAAGCTTCTATGAGTTCCTTCCTATATTAAGTGTAATATAATCTAATAAGGATCTCCTGAAAGGTTGTCACTACAGATTTCTGGGAGACAAATATAATTGACTTTTAATAAGAAAACGAGTATTGAATAGAATCACACCAGTTGCAATATGTTTCTAGAGCAATACACTCCTATTAATTATTTATCTAGTTACCAGAAGAATTACAGCTTATTGTTCTGGTGAGTAGAATCGTTCCCTTCAGGCTCTTTGCGGTAAACATACAATATAAGATTCACCTAGAAAAAATGAAAGCAGAAAAAAACTCACAGGGAAACACAGTAGAAATGTCTCTGCTGTAAATATTGCACTCGCAGAATAAAGGAGGAATTCACGCCCATTAAGGTTTCTTTGAGTCTTGTAATGAAATTCCTCAAAGGTACATGCAAAAAAAGGAAGAACTGGACGTAGTGTGAAATCTTAATATTATATAAAATATACTTTAATTGAAACACTTACAAAAAGTGAAGAATAAAAATGCTCATCAAAAGGTCTGTATCCCTTTCTCCAAGATGCAGTAAACACTGTGTTTTCAGAGAAAATGCAGTGATACCTTCACTTGCCACTCCTCAGATGGCTACTAGAGGTGCTTCATGGGGCAGTGCTGCACAGTGTGACTGCCATTCAGTGTCTCCACCCTCTGCATGCAAACACTGAACTTTCCTCATAGAGATGCATTGATTCATGCTGATTGGCCAGGGCAGCATTTGGCTTGTGCAGGCTCTGCCCCTTATCTGCCTCCTTGATATTCTCAGCCAATCCAATGCTTTCCAGTGGGAAAGCATTGTGATTGGATCAGGTCAACACTTATGATGATGTCAGCCGAGCAGGCAGATAAGGGGCAGAACCAGCAGCAGACAGGAATAAAGGTAAGATGTTGCTATATTTAGGAGCTAGCTAGATGGTGGTTTTAACAGTAATACGTGTTTGTATTCCTGATATTATAGTGTTCCTTTTTTTAGCAGACATAATTTTTATCTTCTATAGAGATTTCTTTCCTATCTGGATTATACACATTGTGGATGTCAGATGCCATCTAGTGGATGTTCTCCAGTTGTGAGATTGCACTTTATAGCATAGAAATGTCGTTTATAGTTGGTTTTATTATTAAATGTGAATAAAATTAAAGTTTTTAATATATCTTGCTATTAAACTAGTCACAAGGTCTGACCTATTATTTTCATAAATACAAGCAACAAGTAGTAAAAAATAATTTGGTGCTCCAACTTGTCCATTTTAAGGATTTATCTAGATCTTGCCGTTCTCCTGTATGATACAAAGAGCCAGCTTTACTGCTCGTTTGGCCTTCCCTCTATGTTGGACTAATTATGTAATGTGTGCCGCAGCCATGTTACTGGGCACTAGGGAGCACTTACATGGCTGCTCACTAACGCCCGGTAGAACACCATCCACCTCAGCCAGGACCCCTCCCCGGTATCCACTGCGGAACAGCAAGGGCGCATCTTTTGCTTGCTCCCGTCCCTTGCCCTGTACGTGGGGACATAGAGCATATAGTAGCAAGGAAGGCTGTAGCAATATGTATGAGTTACTGTGAGGACACAGCCTCAGTATATGTATCCACTATCATAGGCGTGCGCACGGGGTGTGCCGGGTGTGCCTGGGCACACCCTAATCCCCGCGGCCCGCCTATGCATATTGAGACCGGCAGGGGAGATCTCCCCTGTCGGCTCATGCAGAGCCGGCGCTATCCGAGCGCCGGCTCTGCTCTCAGCCTCCCTCCCCACCGGCCCACATGCAGGGAGGGAGGCAGGAGAGGACCCGACGGAGCTATTGCCAGCAGCTCCGCCGGGTTCCTCTCGCGAGATATGAGCGTTGCCAGGCAACGCTCAAATCTCGCGAGAGTGAACTCTAGCCCCACAGGGGGCTAGAGTTCACTCTCCACTGGACCACCAGGGATCACAGCAGCAAGGATCCCCTCCTCCACTGGACCACCAGGGAAAGCAGCAGCACTATCCCCCCTCCCTACAAAAGGTAAGAAGGGAGGGGGGATAGCAAATAATGTACCCCCACCTCCACCCCCACAATCACCCACCCACACACATACAACACACACAGCACACACACATTCAGCACCCACAGACATACAGCACCCACAGACATACACAGCACCCACAGACATACAGCACCCACACACATTCAGCACCCACAGACATACAGCACACACACAGACCCACACACACAGCACCCACACACATTCAGCACCCACACACATTCAGCACCCACAGACATACAGCACCCACAGACATACAGCACCCACAGACATACACAGCACCCACACACATTCAGCACCCACAGACATACACAGCACCCACACACATTCAGCACCCACACACATTCAGCACCCACAGACATACAGCACCCACAGACATACAGCACCCACACACATACAGCACCCACACACATACAGCACCCACACACATACACATTACCCACACACATACAGCACCCACACACATACAGCACCCACAGACATACACAGCACCCACACACATTCAGCACCACACACATTCAGCACCACACACATTCAGCACCCACAGACATACACAGCATACACAGCACCCACGGACATACACAGCATACACAGCACCCACAGCACCCACAGACATACACTGCGCCCACAGACGCTTTTAGAACCCACAGACATCCAGCACCCACAGACATACACAGCACCCACAGACATACAGCACCCACACACATACACAGCACCCACACACATTCAGCACCCACAGACATTCAGCACCCACATACATTCAGCACCCACAGACATACAGCACCCACAAACATACACAGCACCCACAGACATACACAGCACCCACACACATACAGCGCCCACAGACACACACAGCACCCACACACATACAGCACCCACAGACATACACAGCACCAACACACATACAGCACCCACACACACATACAGCACCCTCACAAACACACACAGCACCCTCACACACAGCACACAAACAGCACCCTCACACACACACAGCACACTAGCAGTACCCTCACACACAAAAAGCACCCTCACACACACAGTACATCAACAGCACCCTCACAAGCGCACACACACACACAAACAGCACCCTCACACACAGTACATTAACAGCATCCTCACAAGCACG